TTATTAATATATATATCTTAGTTAATTAGTGTGTGTGTGTGTGTGTGTGTGTGTGTGTGTGTGTGTGTATGATAAATAATAATATATATATAAATATATATACATATATATACACATATATATACACTCAAAATAATAATTAATTCAAAATAAAAAATTTATAATAAGCGAGAATCCACAATGCAATGTCGACTACATATAATTTTTTCTGTATATCATTCATCTGAAATAACGATGCAGTAACCACCATTCAATAATGCTGTAACACAACCGCATCAAATGAAAAAGGCGCTCGTTATTTACGATGTTAATCGTTTATAAATTAGATCATAAATTAAAAACAAATTAAATAGTAAAAAGAAGAGATCAGAAATATAAAAAAAAAAAGAAAAGAAAAAAATAAAAATAAAATAGTTATGGTAATACCTGTTACTTCTTCCTCGATATATCTGTCCTTCTTGGTGCTCGACTGATGCCGCACCACCTGTTCGTGCTTCAGATTCTCAGTCCCCCCTCCAGTATCGTATGCTTCTCTAAATCTAAATATATATTCTCTCGACCACGGATGTTCGAGGATAGCGACAATTCCGGCGCGTATCTTTATTCAGTTCGAGAAGACCGGAATTAACTAAGCGGCGATTATTAATCGAGTTGGTTCGATGAGCAGCAAGGTCAAGCCAGGTGACCAACAAGAGAACAGTCCTTGTACAAACGAGAATGTCGAGATTGGTGGTCCGTTACCGGCACCCGACATGATCGAGGATGTTTCGGCGTCGGGAGTCGCGACGTGCCTATCCGACGCATCGCCACGGGTTCACGGGGCTACCTCCTCTACTCTGCCTTTTCTCCAACCCCAGAAGCTGCGCTTACCTGTCACTGCGCACACTCCTGCTGAAAACCACCCCACACGACACGACATGGACGGATCTATATGTGGGCTAATTGGGCTACGGAAACGGGATCAAGTTCAATACGACCGACGCGACATCAAAATTGGCAATTGCATGTAAGTCGCATGCAAAGATGCATACTACGACATTGCAGTATGATTATTCACTTTCTTTTTTTCTTTCTTTCTTTTTTTTTTATTATTTTATCATAAAAAAATTATTTGATTTTAAAATAATTCTTAAATTTAAAGACGAATAAATATTCGATGTTTAATTAGTTGTATATTAGTTAATTAATTATTTATAAACGTTTTATCTTTAATTTATCATTACTGTCATTTATATTAAACATTTAAAACATTAAAAAGCTCTAATTTTATAATCTACAATATGAAATATGAATTTAAATTTGAATTTCAAAATTCTATTTATCAAATTCTTCGTATTCTTGATAAAAAAATTATTTATTTAATAATATATGTATTATCTAAAAATATTTTATTTGATATAATTATTAGCATTAAATAATAATCTCGTATGTTATAATTGTAAATAATAATTGTTGTAATTTTAATTTCACTGATGAATAAAAATACTTCTTATATTTTATATTAGTATTTTTAAAATACTTGAATATGTACTTTATGTAATATTGATGCTCAATAAGATATAAAATATTGTTGAATATTTATGAGATATCTTTAAAAGATCTATTCTAAAGATCAAAATACGCATTAAAGTTGATATAAAAATTTTAGTTAAGATTTATTTATTATTACTTATTAATATTATAATTATAAACAATTTGCATTAAGCACAATACATATATAAAACTCTTCATATTATTATCTTACTCTATCCTCTAATTCGCTTTATTTAATGCAAATTTAAACTGTTTATAAATTAATAAATAAGCTCTAATCAAAATTTTGTATAACAATTTTTGTAATCGATTCTTCATGAATGTATTAACAACTTGCACACATTGATCTCATTTCAAACAATAGATAGTTCTAATTGAATTATGCATACAAAGATACGAAGAAGGATTTTTATGGTAAAATGTTCACATCAAGAAGATAAATGTATTGATTTATCATGTATAAGAAAATTCAGATTATCAATATTTATCGTTCTAAAATTTAATTTCTTTTGGTTATAAAAGAATATATTTAATGCATTTTAAATTGATAGTTTAGTTCATAATAAATAATATACATATAAATATATATTATATATTTATTATATATATTATATATATAATAATAAGATATTATAAAGTATTAATATAAGTAAAGTAAAGAACCATCTCAAGATGTTTGATAGATTATGTACAGAAAATGTTTTGTCTTCACTATTATATACCTATTCTACATTTTCAAGTCGGTAACAATCTCTTAAAAATATCGTAAAATTAATCTAAATTATATTTTTTAAGATCAATTTTTTTTCTTTTATCATATTCTATTTTCATAACGAAAAAATATGCAACTGATCGAATTGTTTTTTTTATAAGACAATATCAAAATTTCAATAATATTTCTACGAATTTTAAATTATTGTTCGCAAATAGAATATAAATATACTATTGATGATATTGAAAAATGATTCAGATAAAAATTAAATGATTTTTAGTGACATTCTTAAATGATTTTTAATGACATTTTTACTTAATATAAATATATTTTTAATAAATAAATATGTAGAAAACATATATATATGAAAATCGTTTTAATCTTCTTAAATGTTTTTATAAAAATGAAGTAATTTTTTTAAAAATTTAATATGTGTAGAAATTTATAATTTTTTTAAAACATATATTTAATATAAATATAAATTAAAGCATATATTACAATTTGAAATATAAAATCAATATAGAAATTATTTCACAAATTAATTTTTTATTTTGAAATTCAAATATTTTCTAAACAAGTGATAATATTTTTTTTATACAAATTGAATAAGTTTTTTATAAAAAATGATAAATAGAATTGAATAATATGTTAAATAAAATAAAATTCTATTAAAAAGAAAAATTAAGATATATTCGTAAATTTCTATTTGAAAAAATTAAAGTATTTCATGTATTCTCTATATATTTATTTATAAAAAAAATCCTTTTACTATTAGATTCAATGCCTTTTAAATTTTTATGTGATATATTTTTCATATTAACATTGATTTATGTTCACGAAATATTTTATAAAAACTATTTAAAATTCATAAAAATATTATTGAAATTTCGACATTATGAATATCCACAAATGATTTTATTATTTTATATTTCATAATAGTTAAAAGATTATAAAATACATATATTAAATTATATTTAAATTATAAAAATATATAAATCTCAGAATATTATAATCATTACTATTTATTCGAATAAAACGATCATAGATATTAAAAATTCAAATCATAATAATCTTTTTTTTAAATTTATATAAGATTAAGATTATATGTATAAAATAATAAAATTAGAAAATTAACTATTTATTAATAATATAATTAATTATGTTAAAAATAAAATGGATTATATTACATTATAAATGGATAAAATTTATTATATTTATAAGCTAATAATTAAAATTTATTTTTTTATTGTAGATAATATTAATTTAAAATATATCTTTAAGAACAAGTTTTAAAAATAGGCTTTGAAATATTTTGAAAAAAAAAAAAAATTTAATTTCTTCTCTAATTGTAATATTTTACATTGATCATGATTATATTTTATTTTATAAAACATCAAAATTAAAAAAAAAAATATCAAAAATAATTTAATAATTCCATTAGATAAATTAATTAACTTAATAAAATAATAATTTTATTAAGATAAGTATGCTTTTTTTCATAAAATATTATTTACTATATTAACTATTTTTATTATTATAATTTTCAATTACTTATTATTTTAATATTTTTTTTGCAATTATAAAAATATTAAACCAAATAGATTTTAAATCCCTTTTAAAAGAAATTTTTTATAAAAAGAATCAAAGTAGTATTTAAAATCTTAAATAAAATATATATTTAACAAAATTAAAATTTATATTTTGTATTGAAATATATAGAAATTTAATATATTTTTCTTCATTTTTATATTTTGTATTATATATATGTTAAGTATTAATATTAAGATTAATACTAATTAATATTAAGATTAATATTATATTAATATTAAAATTAAAATTAAAGCATTATAAAATAAAATTAGATATAAAAGAAAATTTCATAACTTTAAATAAAAAAACTTATTATATACGTAGAAATTCTTAAAAACATATTAATATAATTCTTAAAATTATGATGATGCAATTTGTATCTAAATATTTTACAAAATTTTTTAAAGATAGAAAAAATGTATATATTTATATATATTTATAATATTGTAAGATATTGCAATAAATAAAAAGGATATGAAAAATATCTTTAAATATGAAAAATATCGTTATATGAATCACATATATATATTATATAAATCAGTTTAATCGGGATAATAGAAAACATATGAATGTCTATAGATTTTTAAAGAATGTAAATTAGTACTATACATTTTTTTCATTTTGTATCAGTAAATCATTTTATATTTATTCTACATCATCTTTCTACTTAGAATATGATAATGTGATTAATATCTAATGGAATTTCAATGTAAGAATTTAAAGATTATAAAGTTATTCACTTATTTATAAAAAAAATAATATTTATATAATAGGATAAAATTTCTTACTTAATTTCTAATGAAAATAATAAGTTTAATATTATTTCAAAAGATTTATTAAAGAAAATAAAGTTCATTTTATTTTCGGAATAACGAAAACTTTGTAATTTCTTTTTAAGATAATCTAATCTAACTAAATATAATAATTTAACTTAATTTAACTTAACCAAAATGTATGAAGATAATACATAATAAAGATAATATTATGTATAAATGCGCCTAAAATTACAAAACGATTTTATAATTTATAAGACTTATATTATTATATTTATGTTTTATTACTTTTATTTATTATTTTTAAGTAAATAAAGAAATGAAATATACTGAATTTTGAAACATTTGAAGATATTATTTCCATAAATATAGGAGTGAATAAGCAAAAGACACTTTAACGCTTGTTTCTCTTCGACTGTGATACTTCCTTCATATGTCAAACCTTCGTTACATTTTCTCGATTGTTACCTCCATGCAAGGTGGCCTATTTTGATTCATAGAGTGTCCTTAAATGAAAAATATAATCTAACTGAAGAAATACTAAAGATTAAATTATTTAAACTAATTACAATCATAAGACAAATAATAATTATGGATTTGTTTATTTATTTTTGAACCAATATTGAACGATATATTAATTAAGAAGTTTATAAAATACGTGAATTTTTAAAATTATTCTAAAAGTATTAAAAATTGCTATTACATAACATTTTTTTTATATTTACATTATATTTATATTTATATCATTATTATATATATGACTATATTTTTACGTAGAAATATATTATAACAAACAGAATTCTATTTTGCAAAAAATAAAAATATTAACGATTCTGAAAATCATATAAATATCTGTTAAAAAAAGAATACATATATATTATAATAAGCTCAAAAATAGTATGTATCGTTCTATAAACAAAAAATTAGTTACTCTATATTAATAACCGTCAAAATAAGAAAAGAAAGATATTTATTGATCGAGTTATTCGTCTCCAGAATATCCTGCTAATCCTCTCAATCCTCATGCGTATTAAAATTCTATATTCAATTTTTTCCATCAAAATGCTTTTGATTGATAAATTAAATCGATTTAATCTAATATTATAACAGAGGAAAATTAGCTTCAGGTTCCGAAAATCTGGTATCCTGCATAACTATCCACCCAACAACTTGACCTATCACATCCTCCATTCCAG